CTCTCTCTCTCTCTCTCTCTGTCTCTCTCTCTCTCTCTCTCTCTCTCTCTCTTCTCTCTTCCTTTGCTTTTCTTCTCTTATATTCTACTTCTGCTTATCTTCGCTTATCTCTCTTCTCTTCTCTTCTCTCTTTCTCTCTCTCTCTCTCGCGGTCGTGGGGGGTAGGGGAGAGGTGGGTATAGTAAAGGGGAAGGAAAGTAAGGGAGAGGAGGAGAAAGGAAGAAGAGAGAAGGGAAGAAGAAGGAAGGGGGGTATTGTGAGGGGAAAAGGGAGGAGGGGGAAGGGAGGATGGGTCGGAAGGGGAGGAGGGAGAAAGGGGAGGATGGGGAAAGGGGAGGAGGGGGAGAAGGGGAGGAGGGGGGAGGGGAGGCGGGGGGAGAGGAGGAGGGGGGGAAGGGCAGGAGGAGGGGGAGGGGAGGCGGGGGGAGAGGAGGAGGCGGGGGAGAGGAGGAGGAGGGGGGAGAGGAGGAGGAGGGGGAAGGGGAGGATGGGGTGAAGGGGAGGAGGAGAGGGGGAAGGGGAGGATGAAGGGAAGGGGAGGAGGAGGAGAGGAGGAGGGGAGGGATAGGGGAGGATGGGGAGGGGGAGGGGAGGCGGAGAGGGGGAAGGAGGAGGATGGGGAGGGGGAGGTGGGGGTTATTCAGCGCACTTGCCTCCTTCGCCCCGACGCCCCTGACGAAGGATTTATCGTGGGAAAATAGTAGCAAGGATTATTGGGTGCTTGGCTTCCTGCGTGAGGATGGCGAGGGAGACGTCGGTGGGGATTTTGAAAAGAGGGTGTGTCTTTTAATTGGTATTTTTTTATTATTTAATTATTATTGTTATTATTATTTTTATGTGTTTGTGTGTGTGTGTGTGTTTGTGTGTGTGTGTGTGTGTGTGTGTGTGTTTGTGTGTGTGTGTGTGTTTGTGTGCGTGTTTGTGTGTGTGTGCGTGTGCGTGTTTGTGTGTGTGTGTGTGTGTGTGTGTGTGTGTGTGTGTGTGTGTGTGTGTGTGCGTGCGTGTGCGTGTTTGTGTGTGTGCGTGTTTGTGTGTGTGTGTGTTTGTGTGTGTTGTGTGTGTGTGTGTGTGTGTGTGTGTGTGTGTGTGTGTGTGTGTGTGTGTGTGTGTGTTTGTGTGCGTGTTTGTGTGTGTGTGTGCGCGTGTCTTTTTTCTGATAAATGGTTTTGCAATTTGCTTTTTTTTTAGTGATAACATTATATTCTAAATGTATAAATGTTCTTTTAAGGGGATAAAGGTAAAAAAAAAAATATTGGGAAATATATAAAAGAGTAAAACGTACGCACTGTATATATTATAATCTTAAAAAGAAAACGCAAATACACAAACGGTCACACTATATACAAATACATCAAAAAAAAAAATCACAAAATATTATAATACAAAACAAACATACTTTCATCACATAGAAACCTATACCTATCTACAAAAAAAATGTATATAATCACATCATAAAGAATAAACATCCCAAAAAACAAAGATTTTATCATACCAACAAACATACTTGAACCCATATACATCTACGTTAATCTATTATTATTATTCCCTTTCTACGAAAATATTTCCAGAGTTCGCGTGACCTCTCTGTCGTCTCTCCTTGCGAATTTTTGCGTCGACGCCCATTCATGAATATACTGGAGAGATACGGAGAGAGATTTTCCTGCGTTGATCTCGGCTCCCGATAGCGGCCCTGATGACGTAGCGTTTCTGATTACGGATGGCGATGCTTTGATGTTGTTGCTTTTTCGTTTTTGTTGGTGTGGTTGTTTGTTTTTTTAAGGGCGTTTTGTTTGATGGTTGGCGGTTGTGTGTGTGTGGGCGGGGGGGGGGGGTTGTGTATTTTGTGTTGTTCGTGTTTTTATCAGCATGATTGTCGTCATGTCTCGTAGTTATGTGATGGTTATTATTTTATTATTATTATTATTATTTCTTATTCTTATAATGTTCGCCTTTTTTCGTAGTAAGTAGATTGAGATAAGAAGGAAAAAGAAAAAAAAATATGCATAAAAAAATCTATCATCATAACGAATAGTAGAACAAGAAAAAAATAAATAAATAAAAAAAATAAACATTTGCATAAAAAAATCTATCACCATAACGAATAGTAGAACAAGCCAGACAGTACGGACCACGAAATGTGATACGAAATAAAGATGAACTCACGTAAAAAAGCTCACCCGCCAGGAGACTTTAGCAGCAGCAACAGGCGTCACTTTAACAACGCCAATATTCCCTCTCGGCTGACGAATTGGCCGTGACAGGTGACGCGAGCGAGTGACGGCCTGCAGTAATTAGAAGGTCTGAGTGACAGGTGACGGGCGGCGAAACGCGAGAGGCGGCGAGAAAAGACGGCGAGATGCGAGAAGCGGCGAGAAAAAAGTTGGCAAGATTGGCGAGAAATGGCGGGGAGAGGCGAGAAGGCTCGAGGAATGGCGAGATCTGGCGGGAAACGGCGAGGAAGGGAGAGAAACAGCGAGATGAGACGAGAAGCGGCGAGAAA